ATATTAGTTAGCGTTAAAATAACTAATTTAAAGTACTGAAGTCACGAGACAAAGTTGTACTTGTTGTTTCACACCAGGAACAAACAAGGATCTCCTGGTTGACAAATTTATGTTTGTTACACATTAATGAGAATAATTCATATTCGACTGTCATGCTAAGCTAGCTAACGTCATTAGCATCTTACCTCGGAGCAAACAAAGGAGTTTTTATTGATCGTTGATGGATTCAGTCTTCCACATGTTTAATCCATAAGTGACATCAACCCTCTAAAGGCCTCTGGTCCCTAGTTACGGTTGCTAACGTAGGAATGTACAGTGTGCGTTGGGGGAGGGGCTTAGCCGAGGGTCGGTTGTATCTGAACTGCTTCTCTGAGGCCTTTGACTCTCATCGTCTCTCCATCAGATGGACCTTCATCCTGAGTTTGAGGACCTCTCAGACATGGCAGCACAGAGAGAAGACCCAGAGGAGCAGGAGGACCAGGTGTGAAGGTCAGCCAGGTGTCAGTCTGCTGCAACTCAAAACAACTTCCTGCTTCCATTTCTGAGGAATAACTTCATGTGATCTTCTTCAGATGCAGTGAAACCAGAGGGAGACTCACCTGGACGGAGACAGGAACCAGTGGACACATTTCCCTTCAGTACCACAAGTTATTATCTGAGGTCTTTACAAAGTTAAAACTAAAGTTTTTATTTCGTTCTCTTTGCTCTTGAATCACTGTTTTTATTTTAAATGTTCTTCGGTAGAGAACTTTGAATTTCATTCTTGCTTCAATGTGTTTTATAGATATACTTGCATTAAAATATCAGAATTAGTGGCTTGTAGCAGAATATTCATGATGCTTTAATTATATCTGTGCTGCTACATTACTTGTGTGCATGTTGTAATTGAATAAATAAATTGCTTTTAAGAAATACTGATCACCATCTTATCCAGTTTTTCTTCACCGGATTTAAGGACAAATGGCAGAAAAAAAGTATTTTAGAAGTTAAATGGTCTCCATCTCAAAGAAAACCTGCAACAATGTCCAAAAAGAGTGATATTCCATTGTGACCTTTATTGTGGCGGGTGAATCCAGTACTTCCTGATCAGTCGACGAGTGAAACAGAAAATCAAACTTCAACTCATTTTACTGTTAATGGTCACTTCCGTTCTGTATCACGCAAAGTTCTGATTAATACAACGATGAAAATGTCTTCAGACCGTTTCTGTAAAAAATGATGCCGTGGTGATTTCTTTGCGTTTGGAGACTTAAATGAAGGGTGAATTAGCCTCTACTTTTTAATTTAAATACAATATCTTACTCACAAGTCCCACAACTAAGTGAGTATTTAAAAGCTACATCTGTAATGATTTGGTGGAATCTTTTAGTGAGATTGCAGCAGAGAGAACTGGGCTCAGAGTTTGAGGCTCAACGGCACATAAAGTAGTTTAATATGTAGAAAATACTATTGTACATTGTACCAGTTTCTACCAGTCAGTCAAAATGTTAATATCATTTATAACAGCACCATGTAAAGTTCATTTATCATCAGACCTGAAGTCCTGAAACGTTGATAATTAATATCAAGTGTCTGAAAAGCGCCTTAGAAGCACTCGCAGTGCACGATGCTGTGAGCGGCCTCGTCCTCCTGCTTGCTGATCCACATCTGCTGGAAGGTGGAGAAGGAGCCGCCGATCCAGACGGAGTATTTACGCTCAGGAGGGACGACGATCTGCAGCAGAGGAGGAGAAGCTAATAATAATAATAAAAATAATAATAATACCACATCACAACAGACACAAGGACGATAAGAACAACCAGTTATCACTGATAATATATTCAGCTTGTGAAACATATTATTTTATGATGTGAAAAACTAAGCAGTGAATATTTATCATTTACTATAAATGACAAATGCAGAGGTCCATTTAAGAGCTGCTCTGCAGTTTGATTTGAAGATGAGACGGGAGGTCAGTCGTCCATCTTTAAGCAGGAGGAAGTGTAAATATAAATACACAATATCACATTGGGGGAAGGACACAGGAGACATGTCCCCTGCACCTTTTAAAACCCCGTTTTGGTCCCCTGCTGTTTTTACCGTCCAAAAACAATGTTACGCTACGGTAAACAGAGACTGGTCAAGCACTAGGACCCAGCGGAAAAAGGGCCGCTCAAGCTGAAGCCTGTTTCCCTCAGTTTAGACCAGTGTTCATTTTGGCAGCTATTTCTGATTTAGTCTTAGGACGAAAAATGCATATTAGTTTTAGTCACATTTAGTCATTTTAATCCTTAGTTTTAGTCGAAAACTAGACTATAATGTAATTAGTTTTAGTCTCATTTAACAGCCATATTAAACTCCTTTTCTTCCCTTCTCAGGCCCAGGGACGCCCTGTATTATGTCCCTCCCATAGGACAGGTCTATAGATGTCCCTCCCATAGGACAGGTCTATAGATGTCCCTCCCATAGGACAGGTCTATAGATGTCCCTCCCATAGGACAGGTCTATAGATGTCCCTCCTAGAACAGGTCTACAGATGTCCCTCCTAGGACAGGTCTATAGCTGTCCCTCCTAGGACAGGTCTATAGCTGTCCCTCCTAGGACAGGTCTATAGCAGGTCGGCAAACGTTTTGACTCGCGGCCACAGTGGGTTGTAAAATGTGACGAAGAACAAATGGTGGAAGTGTTTGTGTGAGCTGATATAAATGACGTGTGAAACATCATTACATGAAAGGATTTGGATTTTAACAAATAGCAAAGCATTTATTTGCAAGGCAATTTAACAAATTGGCAAAGGTGTAACAACTTGATGAGGACCAGGGACCTAAACGCAACACTTTGTGGTCTTTGTCTGTTTACTTGTGATGTCTTTGACACTTCATGCTCCTTTATTGTTTCCACTGTCCCAACAAGAGAGACCTTAACGTCCTACAATCGCTGCAATACATTATTTTCGTGGCTTCAGAACCTGCAATGAGTTTATTACGTTAGACGTGTTTGTGACGGAGCGTCTCATCCACCGAGGAAACGCTGGCTGCCGTCGCCAGAGAACAGAGCAGAAAGGTCCGACGGTCTTTAAACGCGTCTTCATGTTTCTGTGAAGCAGCGCGGCTTCAGCCTGCTAACAGGCAGCTAACAGGCAGCTAACAGGCAGCTAACCCGAGACAGCTGAGCTAAACTAACGAAGACACGTTCAAACTCGCCGAAGCGTAAAATAGTCGTCGCGGTCCGTAGTCGGTGCACAAGAACCACCGCTGCACCGCTGGGGGCGTTCAGGGTTCGTGGATGACGTCATGACGCGTTAATATCCGCCTGTTACGCCCCCTGGTGGCTCGACCCGGAGCGCAACATAAGGGCGACAGGTCAAGGCAAGTGAGGCGTTAGCCACACAGAATCCAATACACGAAACGTAACAAAGTATTTGTTTTTCAAAAGAGCAACACAGGGATCAACAAGGACTGTCAGTGGCACCAAGAAGAGAACATAACCCCCCCCCCTCATTGACCGGTGCTTAGCACCCAAAAATACAGTAGGTGGTGCTCACTCTAGCCTAGGGTACTAACAACAGGTACACCTACGTGTAGCAATATGTAAACCCCGGAGTATCTTACCTGTCCTCATTGACCCTGTGCGCACAACCAAAAGATATCACAAAAACACCAGTAGGCTGTTACTAATTCAATTTTAACACAAGACAGTGGTCTTCAAACCGCGGGCCCAGCTCAACACAGAAGAGCCTCCCCACTGAGAACAAACATTGACTCTGTGAAGGGGAACGGTTGATGGGAGATCTGGAACAGGTGTGGTGATTGGATGAGGGGACCCGGGTGTGCACATCTGTGAAGTGAGAGAATGGAAACAGAAGGGGGAGACAAAACCAAACCAACAACACAAAACAGAACACCACATCTGTAGACCTACTACCCGTAGAGCGCTGTACGTAACACCGCCGTACTTTGCCTGTCTGTTGTCTGTCAGCTGCGTGCGAATTCAGGGGGAAAAAGTATTGTGACTTCCTCAACCACCAACATGTTCGTCTCGTCTCGTTAACGAAAGTTAAGATTTAGTCATAGTTTTTATTTTTTAAGATCGTCTTAGTCTCGTCTTAGTCATGGAAAAAAGGTTCGTTAACGAAAAATGTTCGTCAAATTTCGTCACTGGTTTAGACCCGCCCACCAGCTCCTCCATTGGCTCTGCTGTTGCGCGTGTGATTGGCCGTCCCCGCTGTCATCAGGTTGTAAACCGGTCTGCTAGTTGCCTCGAGGAGTCCCTGTTACTCCGCCACTGTAAGTGTGAAATAGGTGCTACTGAGTTGGAGTGAAGATGACTAACAAGGTGAAACACAGAATGATAATGTTTTGCTACATGCTTTACAACCAGTCAAACCAAAAAGGGAACAGTAGCAGTAGAAAACTAGAAGAACTGCTAGTTTGATTAAAAATACTTGTGCCCCCCCCACTTCTGAAATCAAAATGAGTCCCTGGATACAAACACGATCAGGGTGGATTTAATTTAGCAATAGAATAGAAGAGCACACTGAGAACTTAAGGGGAGAATATTCAGTCAACTTTTGTCTTTAGGTTCAAGCCAACGATAAACCTGAATGAGCAATAATCCAACATCCTGACAGGAAAATAAATGAACAGTAACAATCAGATTCACATGTGGACATCTCTTCATTTAGTGAGTAACACTCACTGAGTGACTTCAGCTTTGAGTCACATTCTAATACGTCCTTCTGCGTGAGAACAGTAACTTGTTCTTAAATATCTTATGCAGATAAATATTAAAGGGCTTAATCTGTGTCCATTGAACGAGTACTGCGTCATTATGTCAGTGAGCAACACGCCCTCAGATACAGTAAAATACATATATATATATATATATATATATATATATATATATATATATATATATATATATTGTGGCAACCTGTACACAAAAAAAGGGTACGGTTTATTTTGACATACAAAAAAAGGGAAAAGGGCAAAATAGGTTCTTCCTCTTTTGAGGGCTCGGTTCAACAGGCTGTTCGGCCTTCAGTCCCCTTCCTGCGGGAAGCACAGAAAACAGGATTTACACTCATTCCAAAACCCCCCCAGCGTGAGGCCATCTCCTATACGTCTAGTTCCCCAGGCTGCATGAATGGGTGGTCCTTTATAGTGTGGGGGGGCGGGGGGGCGTTTCCCCTTCTCACCTGACCTCTGGCTCGTCGGTGCCCCAGACCTTGGTGCTGATCTCTTGAGGCGCTGTCCAGGGTGCTGATTCGTGGGTTGCCACAATATAAAGAAGAATGTCATTCTCTCTGCTAACAAACATTGACGTAATACCTCTTCAGGCCAGAGCTCAGCTTCACCTCGTCCTTCTCATCTTCATGTTAAACTGGTGTGATGGGCTGCAGTCCGTATTCCACTTAAGAATGAAAGCAAAGGTTCAGTTCATTGAAGGAGAAACGTGCTGCTCATCAATCCAGCACATTGTTTGTCCATCCAGACACTAATCTGGAAAAAGCCTTTTGAAGTTACAGCAAAAGAAAACCAGGATGAAATTGAAGGTGATTATGATAAGTTACACGTTTTTGACTACTGTTTTTCTGTTTTGTTTGTTTGTTTGTTTGTTTTTACGTTCTGTGCTTCAAACCGATTTGAGTGTATTCCTCGTTAACACGTATTAGTTCTGAGGTATAATAACTTTAGGAGACATACCTCAGGCAGAACGTTGTTTTCATGCACGTTGGCGCCGTTGATGGCCGCCACGGTGCTTCGGTGCGCTTCGTTTGTTGTTGTTTTTGTTGTTAATTATGTTTCCTGCTGCGATTCCCGGAGCTCTTTCACCAGAGATGAGCTCTTGAACATCCGTGGAACAACTCCAGCGGAGTTACTTCCAACTTTCCTGCTTTCTTCCGTGGAATTACTGCACATTCTAGTCAAAGGTGCGCTCACCTTTCGTCACGGACTCCGCGCTCCAGCTGGCGGCTTCCAGCTGCTCCGAGCGGACCGCGACACGGAGCTCTCCGGCAAGACGAAGGGTGGAGGAATCTGCTTCTACTCCAACAGCAGCTGGTGCAACGACGTAACGGTGACCCTAAAACACTGTTTTCCTGATCTGGAACCTTTCTCCATCACTGCAAACCCTTTTATCCCCCCGTGAGTTCGCTTCATTCATCCTGGTCGGTGTTTACACGCCGCCGGCGGGCAACGTGCACGAGGCTCAGCGGACACTCGCCGACCAGATACGGCGTGTGGAGCGGACCAACCCGGACTCTTTAGTTATTGTCCTCGGGGACTTTAACAAAGGAAATCTCACCCATCAACTTCCTAAGTACAGACAGTTTATTAAATGCCCACCAGAGAGGAGAACACGCTGGATCATGTAGGATGTTAGAAATAAACTGACGACCCGGTTCATAAAATGAATAAAATGCATATAGTGTACACCAGAATACAGCCATGATTCTGAAACTGTGTCATCAATAAAGTAATGACAATATTGTAAAACCTGTGATTGTAATACATATAGAACCACCATAAGATAGAACCACCATCACATAGGACCACCATCAGATAGAACCACCATCAGATAGAACCACCATCACATAGGAGAGGGTAGTGTTGGTTCATGATGATGGACTAAGACCTCCCCTCACAGTTTCTTCCCATCGGCAGTCGGGCTCATCAACAGAGCCGGTCCCCCACTGACGGACTCTGACAGCATCACGTGACAGCTTCTATCAAGATAACTTCTGCTTTTTCTGAGTTTAGCATCAGGAAGTTGCTGGTCATCCAAGTTTTGATGTCTCCAAGAAATTCTTGAAGTCTAAATAGTTGGTCGGTCTCTTCTGGTTTGATCGACAGACGTAAGGAGGGGGGGGGGGGAGGGAGATGCAACATTAGCGTCGCTGAAAACATGACGTCACAACTGGTCCAACATTTCCTAAAAAATATACAAAAAACTTCTCGTCCAGCTGATTACTGACGTTTGTATCTCTCTCTTCTTTAAACATGACAGACGGGCAGAGAATTTAAAGGCAGTTTTACACTTCTACAAATTAAAAGGTAGGTCTTAAGTTGGGCTACAGTCTGGTGTATTATTAGTGTAATGCTGCTTATGCTTACAAAAATATTTGTGTGTTGTCAACTTTTTATTATTGTGCACAACATTAATTTATCTCATTCACAGAATGTGCAGCTTAATGCAAAGAGAAGAGAGACTCCAAAAGCAGAAAGACACTTCTGCCTTTTTCTTTTGGTTTGAGCACCTGCCCCCCAAACTGTCTGAAGCTTGTTTTAATCTTCCCAACAATAACCATGTTTTCATCACTAAGAAGTTTCTTTAGAGGAGCGCTTCATATGTTCACTGGGAGCCTTTTTCATCTCCACGTTACCTGAAGGACTTAAAGGGAGGAGGCTGCAGTCTGCAACCTCACCACTAGATGTCACTAAACACTACACACTGTCCTCAACAGACACTTTCATATTGTAATGGAAATGTGTGAACATTAAATGAATAAAGCAACATTTGTGTGAGTTGACAGCTTGTTTGTGTTGTTTGTGTCCTGCAGTGAATGTGAGGAAGACGTATGAAGAGCTGCAGAGAGGACATATTTATCTACATGTTAACAGGAGGACGTCACACTGCAGCCTTTCACTTAATGTGAATTATTACAGAGAATGAAGAGACGTTTATGCTGCTTACAGGTTCATCAAGATGATCTTCACATATTAACAACACTTTTATGATGTTTCCTTTTAGCAGAAGTAAGACGTTAACATTAAAGCAGCTTCTTGTTCTGCAGCTCATGCACACTAATGACGGAAACAGGAAGGAAGCTCTGCTGGGTGTTGAACAGCAGCTTGTTACCAACTCCAGAAGAGACGAGCTGACCTCAGAGACATCAGCCTCCTCTTTAATGTAGACGTGTTTCTGGTGACTTACTGAATAAAGAGTTTCTGATCTGCTGATTGAACACAGAGGAGCAGCTATGAGTCCATCAGCCGGTGGATTAGTCGTCTTCCTTCTCTCTGTACAAGGTACTGTACTTCTACATTTATATTGTGAGGCCGTTACACACCTCACACACACACAGGGAGCTGTGTTTTTACTTCACACACAGGTCTGATGTCATCACACACAAATAATGACTAAATGAACATTAACAAAGAAGAAATGCTCTGAATAATTTGTCTCTGTTGAACTTCCTCTAATCGTTCAGCAGCGTTTCTTTGCATTAGACCACATTTAGAGGCTGTTATTCACTCCGAGTCTCTGACGACGTTTGTTCTCCTTTATGTCGTGTTTTCTTGTGTATTTGTGGTCATTTTTATTCTCTTCCTGGTTGTTCAGTGTCTCTTTGAGGGACATTTTGTAGCTTTGATCCGTGTCACAGATAATTGATTCACTGCCGGATGCTGAGCGCCGTGTCCTCAGTGAGGTGTGACCTATATGTCACAGTATCGTTCCCCTCAGAGTTCTGCATTTCTCTACAGTTTCCATCTCCACTCTGCAGCAGACTGACCACAGACAGAAGAGCACAGAGCAAAGACACTCTTCTTCTCATCAACCAAACCCTTCTAATACTTCAACTTGAGCTTTTTCAGGTCCACAGGTTCAATACGTCGCTGTTCCTTCCAGCTGCAGAGTCCATGTGGACATCGCGGACTCTTTCATTACTTTCTATAAACTCAATGATTTTCATATTTCTCATAATATCTTTTCTCTTCAGTAAACTACCAATGAGAGTGTGTCCTGTGATGTTGTTCTGAGTGTGACTGTGGTTCCTGATGTGCTGTGTTACAGTGATACAGAGTCAGGATGGATGGAGAGTGAATTACCGTCAGACTGACGTCTGTGCTGCAAAAGGATCAACAGTGTATATAAGCTGTTACTACACATACCCACCTGGAATAGATCCCTCTGATATAAAGGACAGATTCTGGTTCACTAAAGAGAAAGATGGTGAACCTGTGGATCTGAAAACAGACTCTGAGTATTCAGGCCGTGTGACGTACAGATGTTATAGTAATAGTAGGAGTTGTTATCTGACCATCACAGACGTGAGAGAGAGCGACTCAGCTGAGTACAAATTCAGATTCAGGACAAACAAACCAGGAGAGAAATATACTGGTTCACCTGGAGTCACTTTGTGTGTCACAGGTAACATTTTAATTCACATATTAATCATCTACAAATGTTCAACATCTAGAAAACTAGAGTATAAATGTCTTCTGTGAATGTTGACACTTTAATAAATAATATTCACTGATTCAGGTTTCCAGGTGCAGGTGAGAAGATCAGATTCTACCTGGTTGGAGCTGACGTGTCACAGCAGCTGTGTTCTGTCTGATCGTGCTGAATACGTCTGGTACAAGAATGAAAAAAACATCATGACAGGATCTTCTCTTCTAGTCTCCTCTGGTTCTACAGACAGATATTCCTGTAATTTAAGAGGAACTTGGGATAACCGTTCTCCTGCAGTGTGTAAGTTCACTCCACTGTGTCGGCCTGTGGAGCTTCACCAACATCTCACATGGAGGCACCAGACCGCTGCATGTAAACTAGAGGCATCAAAAAGATGAAGCACAACGTTCCTCAGGAGGTGGAGCCGTGGTCCACTGACCAGAGGGTTGCTGGTTCAATCCCCGGCCCCTGCAGTCTACGTGTAGAAGAGTCACTCACACACTGACACAACAATATGATTCTAATCACAGCTGTAAACACACTGGAGTCTAAATGTTAAAGGAGACACAGATCTTTATTTATGTCATTCTCTTATTAATAGAAACACAAATATAAACCATCAGCAGACAGAATAATGTGATTTTCATAAAGACTCAAGTGAATTATTCCAGAACATAAGTAGAAGTGACGTGTCAGCTGGTGGAGGAAACAATCCATAACTCCTACAACAACTAGAAGTGAGAGGACAGACTCAGCTAAGGACACAAGCAGCATCTAAAGAGAAGAATGTGTGGAGATATGAACATTACAAAGGATTAAAGGCTGCTTATTGTCACTTTACACCAGCAGGAGTTTCACCTGTGACAGCTGCTGTGATGAATACTAGAGATAGTCTGAGAGAAAGACACACAAGTATTCATTCAAATGATCAACTATCTACGCTAACATCTTCTAACCTCTTAGTATGTTTATTCACGTCTCCTCCAGATGGTCCACAGCGTCCCTCTGTGTCAGTGAGTCCCTCTGCTGAGATGCTGGAGGGCGGTTCAGTGAATCTGACCTGTAGCACTGATGCTAACCCAGCAGCTAACTACACCTGGTACAAGGAGCATGAAGACTCACCACGAGCATCAGGACAGATCTTCACCATCACTAACTTCACAGCTGAACACAGTGGGAATTATTACTGTGAAGCCCAGAACGAGATGGGACGTAGTAACTCCACCTTACGTCTGATTACTTCTTCAGGTAAATCACACTCATTCTTCTGTTCTCTCACACATTATATCAACAATCCAACTAAAGAAGTGACTCACAGTAAACGCGGCCTTTAGCTCCTGTCCTCCACTCAGTGAAGCAGGAGAGCATTGTGGACTAGAAGGTGAACCTGAGCAGATACACTATGACCCCACTGAGAATCTTTAAAGCTTCACCAGCTGAGCGTCCTGCAGACATCACGTGGTCTGATGCTGCGTCGTCTCATCAAATGATGAAGTCAGAAGTGGAAGGAACAAGAAGAGTCACGTTAGAAGAGCTGAAGATGTTGATACCTGAACAGAGTCTGTAGCTGTAAGAATGCAGGAGCAGCTCAGTAAGAGAAACAAGTCTGGAACAAACACAATGCTGTTAGCAACACA